TTCAGGTGAATCCATTGCTTCGTGGAATGAGCTTGGATCACCTTCAACAAGAAAGGTAAGGAAATCTTCTCCAAAATCCTTTTCGATTCTACCTCTTTTGCTTCTTCGAGGTTCAATATCAAGAGGTTGAGAAGAACTGGAAGATGGAAGATCAGAAGGAATGGATGATCTGGGATTTTCTGAGATTTTAGATTTGAAAGGAAAGATGTTTTCAAAATAGACTGCATCTCTTGCTTCAATAATGGTATTATTGGATATGTCACTAATTTCAGATTTGATGACTAGAAATCTGTTAACATTGTTATCTAGTGCATATCCAATAAAAGCAGCATTTACAGTCTTAGAACCAATTTTTCTCTTCTTAGGTTCGGGAATAGCTACTTTAGCCAAGCAACCCCAAACCTGGAAGAAATTCAGATTAGGAGGTCTCCCCTTCCAATATTCATAAGGAGTTGTATCGGAATTTTTTTGGGGAATCCTATTGAGAATGAAGCAAGCAGAAAGAAGAGCTTCACCCCAGAGATTTTCAGGTGCTCCTGAACTGAGTAACATACAGTTCACCATATCCATTAGGGTTCTATTCTTTCGTTCAGCTACCCCGTTAGACTGTGGTGTATAGGGAGCAGTAACCTCATGAATAATACCGTGTTCTTGGCAATATTCAGTCATATGATTTGAGGTATACTCCCCCCACGATCAGATCTTAGAAACTTGATCTTCCTGTCAAGTTGGTTCTCAGATTCAACTTTGAACACCTTAAACCTATCTAAGACTTCATCTTTAGTTTTGAGAAGATAGGTGTAACAATATCTGTAGTGGTCGTCTATAAAAGTCACAAAATATCTCCTACCCCCTCGGGTGAGAACTCGGTTAGAGTCACACACATCACTATGAATTAATTCGAGGGGTTCAGAGTTTCTAGTTATAGACTTGAAGGGTTTTTTAGTGTGTTTCCCTTGAACACAGATTTCACATTTAGATGAGGGATCATGAGAAGATTTAGGAATGAGGTTTAATTTACTCATTCTCTGCAAGGTTTGGAAATTGACATGTCCAAGTCGTCCATGCCAAACATCACAAGACTCAACAATTTGAATAACAGAAGACTCAGAAATTTCATTAGAACTGGAATTGATTACATTGAGTTTGAAAAGGCCATTACAGATAAAACCTTTTCCTATAAAAACATTACTCTTTGTAATCACAAATTTATTGGATTCTTTTACAATCCTATAACCAGCTCTAAGAAGAAGAGATTCACTAATCAGATTGCGACGGAGAGAAGGAACATGATAAACGCCTTGCAGATGAAGAACTTTCCCAGAAGTCATGGTGAGCTCTATACGTCCACTTCCTATTATTGATTTAGTGGAGTCATCTGCTAAGCTTATGCTTCCTCCACGTGATTCCTGATAATTTGAAAACCAAGAGCGGTCATTACAGACGTGGATATTTGCTCCGGAATCCAAATACCAATCAGTGGAAGAAGTTAGAGAATTTACAAGATGAGATGAAGAGGCTAACCTGAAGGAGGTTGGATTCATTTCAATCATATTAACTTTGTTAGATCCATTTCCTTTAGGGGCAGGTTTGGCCGGTTCCTTCTTCCGAAAGAAACAGTTGTGAGCCATATGGTTGGTTCTACTACAGACAAAGCAGAACTTCTCATCAGACTTATGGCTGGAAGAATTTGGATTTGATTTGAAGGAGGGTTTGTTGAAAGATTTGTCGAAAGATTGTTGATTTTTCTTGAATTTCTTCCCTTTGGGTTTGAAATTCTTAGATTTAGGATTATCCTCTACCAAGTTTACTTTAGCTTTTGTTTCATTATTGGTATTGTAATTTTGCCTATGCTGGTCTTCAATATGAATAGCCTTGAGGGATTCAGTTAAGGTTAGATCTCCTTGCTTGTGTCGGAGATCTCCAGCAAATCTAGACCAGGAGGGAGGAAGTTTATCAATCAAACAGGAAACTTTATAATCGTCAGTAAAAGTGTTTCCTTTTGATTGGAGATGACGGAGAAAATCTAGGAATTCATGAATTTGTTCATTAATGGGTTTGTCATCAACCATCATGAACTTATTGAATGAGGAGGAGGTGAAACGCAGAATTCCGGCATCATCATAGCCATATTCTGCTTCAAGAGCATTCCATAGATCTTTTGCACTTTTGAACTCATAATATATGTCATAAAGATTGTCCGCAAGTGCACTAAGGATCCTATGACAACAATTATAGTTGATTTCTTCTGGTTACATAGAGCTAGAAAAGGAGCTAGCACCAGAACCAGAAGTGGAAGGAGCAGGTTGAGCAGGATCAGGAGTCAAAGGTTGAGAACCACTAGTAGATGACTCAGAAGTGTCAATAGCAGATAAAAGACCTAAGGTAGTGAGCCAGTATTTTATCTGATTAGCCCACCATTTATAGTTAACACCGGTGAACTTCTCAGGTTTGACACTTTTTGAATGATCAGGAATTGCCATAAGTCCAATTTAAGTTTACTAGTCTAGGTAGATGTAATCTGATATAAAAAAAGATTTTATCAATATTACTAGACCAGAAACTTAATTAAACCTGCTCTTAACCAAAAACTCTAAAAGTGAAAAGATTAAAGTTTTACTCGGGTAGTTTGGCCAGGTAAGGATAGTACTAGAGGTTGATCAATGATCGATTAAGTACCTCGTTTCTTGCAGAGCACTTTACGCAACCCTTAAACCTTTCCTTAGACACCAACTAATCCAAGAAAACTTGAATCGGTTCACTTAAAGATTTTTTGTTTATGACAGCTACTGAATTTGAGCACAGAAGCAGCAAAGAAATAATAATTTTTTTTAAACTAATTTAGATGCAACAAATTAAAACAATTAACTAATACAACAAGTAATTAAAATATATGAAATTCGGGTGAACAGTAATCCCGATGAACAATAATTTTTTTTTAAAATTTTTTTTTACTAATTAACTTAATAGCAAGAATTATTACTTAATCTTCTAGATTGCTGTCAAAACAAAAATATAATAATATAAAACAAATTAAAGAGTTAGAAAATTCAGGCCTGATTGGGAACAGTCGTGATATCACTGTCCTAGAAGATTAAGGACCCGCCTATCGCCCTGACGCAATTTGTCCTCTCTCCCCTAGCGGTAAAACCCCCCGGAATCGGCCGGCCTCTGCACTCGGGCGTGAGTCACAGAGCTTATGCTCAGACGAAAACGGTTGCCCAGAAAATAGATATATAAATATGTAGCCGAAATCTCTTGGAGGTATGAGAGTAGAGAAGAGAAGAGAGTTTAGAAGATTTACTCTTCGTTGGTGTGATTCTGAATGAGCTCCAAGCCTCCTTTTATAGGTGATGAAAGGTGTAACCCCCGCTGAATCCAAGGGACCGTTACGCACGGTTATTGCTTCCGTTACCCGCATGCAGCCGTTACAAAATGTGTAAAACGTGCAAAAATGAAGGCTTGAGAAGCAAAAAGGTGTGCGGCTGCGGCGTGGCGCGCGTGCGGGCGAGGCGTGGCGTGCGTGCGCGCGCGCGCGTGTGGTAGAAATGCAAGGCCCACAAAACCCAAAACACTATTCAAAGCCCAATAAGAAGAGAACCATTATATACCCTTCACTATTCATCTCATTTTCCAATGTGTGACTATTCACAAAGGCAAAATTGCCTTTTCATGACAAAGTTCCCAACAAATCACGTATAGGAGGGTGTATCTTCATTTTAATTTTGATAAGGATGATTTCGAGGATTTGCTAGTTTTTGTTTGATAGGAGGTTGTACAGATTTTGTTTTGCTCAGAAGAGCCTGGTTTATATCTTCAAGTTTCAATAATGAAAATAATACTAACTTTTCATACCAAAAAAATTAGGGAAGAAAGAAAAAAAGGAAAAAAACAGAAAAATAAAGAAAATATTATTTAGAACTGCAGGAGGTTCCACCTACACACAAAAAAAAAAAACACACTCGTAAAAACTTAGATGAGTATTAAAGCCTCTCAGGTTAAACTTAGACTCGACCTCAAGTCAACAATAGAAGGAATGAGAAGTAGAAAACAATCACAAAGCGGAATCGACAATCAACAAGAATTAATTACAAGCATATCTCAAGCTCTAATTTCACCTCTCTACAAGCATCTCTCAAGTTCCAATTTCATCTCTCTGTCGTTTCTATTTTATCCTTTTCGGATAAAATGTAACGCAGTTGGAGATGCATATTTTTGTAGGCTCAATATTACATAAATATTTTACACCAACATAATTGAGAAAATAAATCCCGCTTTCGGAGGCCCTGCTTCTGTAGTAGAGGGGCGTAATTCTGAAGTCCAGTTATCACGTAGAATGATGTAATTCTTAAAAAAAATATCACGCTATGCAAATGTTTCCCAAATGAGTGATGTTAGGGGCACACCACCCACCCCAACCCCAACCACACTCTCCCCTCTCATTGCTACAGTAAATTGAGCCCCACATGGGATTTTAAAAAATTTAAGATCCCATGTAGAACTTGATTTACTGTAGCAATAAGAGGGAGGAGTGTGGCTGGGGTTGTGGTGGTGTGCCTCTAACATTATTTTTCCCAAATAGCTTCGGCAGACCTTTGGTTGAAGCAGAGCAAGTCATTTATTATTATCCAAAACCCAAGGGACCGCGTAGCTGGCTTCTACCGTCGCACGCAACCCGACAATCCACGATCTCCGTGGATCCACTCACCGCACCTGACCATGCAAACAAAACACTCGGTTCTCCGTCCTCCACCGAGCTCAACAGCACAACCGTCTGCGGTAACCTTACCGCATCGCAAACACGAACCAGAAAGCTTTCGCTCTCAAGCCCTTCGGGCTCTATAGCTTTCTCCGCAAGCCAAGGCGCAATGCCCCTCATCTTAACCTCAGCTCGTCCCCTCTCTCTCGCTCTCTCCTCAAAAAACCCCAAAATTCCTCCCTTCGTCTCCAAACCCTCATCGATCTCCTTCTCCCCTAAATCTCCCCCCTCGATCCGCCCCATGAGCAGCTGGCTCGGAAAGCTAGGGTTAGGGTTAGGCCGCGGCGGCGGGGCGGAGTCTCATCGGACGCCCGCCGAGCGCGATCGCGCAGGCCCCGACGAAACGATGTCCCGGGCCGGGGCACGGAGTTCGCTGCAGTCGGCGCCGGATGCTTACTGGGGGGTCTGAATTGGGTTTCCAGAGAGTCCCCCGGGGTTTCGAGGACTGAGGCTGGGTATACTCAGGGATTGATTCATCAGCCGACGTACGAGGATATTTGTAGCGGGGCGACGATGCACTCGGAGGTGGTTAGGGTTCAGTATGATCCGAGGGAGTGCAGGTTTGGGGATTTGCTTGATGTTTTTTGGGCGCGGCATGATCCTACGACGCTTAATCGGCAGGTAGTGAGTTGAAATTTGATTCTTGAGTTGGTTGGATGTGAGATTGCTAGTACCTGATTGTTTTATATCTGCTTATAGTTTGCGGTAGTTTCGAGAAATTTAAATTTTTGGTTTTGATAGCTGGGGTTAGATTTTACTAGCTGATTGGTACTCGCGAGTGTCAGTCTTGTGTTCAAGTAGACTCAAGAATGGCACTTGTTTTTGGAAAGAATTAAGGTTAGTGTCGGTTTGATTGCGTTCAGGTGCAACACTGATGGAGTGAGGTGGAAGGATTATCATCTGGCTAAATAGAAAGCCAGAGCTACGGCTTCAACTTTGCAAACAGGGTTGTGAGAGGGTGGGAAGAAGGGGCATATAGTGAGGTAATGTGGGGTTTGAAATGAAAATGACTCTGATCGACATTTATTTGGCAGTCTTGGCCTTTTCTTAGTTAGAAATGGAGCATCTGCTGAATAGTATGTTCGCTTCAACTTTGCAAACAGGGTTGCGAGAGGGTGGGAAGAAGGGGCATATAGTGAGGTAATGTGGGGTTTGAAATGAAAATGACTCTGATCGACATTTATTTGGCAGTCTTGGCCTTTTCTTAGTTAGAAATGGAGCATCTGCTGAATAGTATGTTCAGACATAGTTGCATTTGGTGACAAATGAAAGGCATGGAAATAACATGTCTTATTTGTTGAGGGTCTTAAATCTTAGGTTAGTTTGAAAAAAGTCCCTCAAATCATTGAAATTGCTATTTGGTCCACCATTTCTTTTAGTTATTTTGAAATTAGTCCCTCCAATCAGGAGTATAATTAGCAAATATTAGGATTAATCTGAAACAACGTAATAACAATTTCAATGATTTGAGGGACTACTTTCCCTCTAATATATATTTCATAGATAATGAAATGGATGGGAGAGATAAGAGGTTGAGAAAGAGCACATTTTAGTTGCAATCAGAAACATATGGGTGGATGTATCGTCTTTTAGATCCCGTCGGTAGAGACTTGAAAAGGGGAGGGGAAGCAATTTTCCCTTTCTTTTAGTTTGTATTCCACAATAGTGACTACATATGCTTCCTACTACTAAAAGGATCCATACTCAACTTTTTGATTAAACTGAAACTCTGATCCTATTGCAATACAAAAAGAAAACTTGGTACAAGTTTGTGTTAACTCGTGATTGCATTAGGAATTGAACTAATATTCTTAGAATTATGAAGTTTATTTTAACATTTCTCTCTTAGAAAGCTTCTTTTATTAGCGATATTATATATCATAACTAAAGTGTAAATTACCACTACATAATTGGCCCTATGTATTTCATGGGAACTTCTAAAAGTACTCTCTTTACATGTTAAGAATATTAATGAAGTATTTTAGAAAAAAACGCATCTAACATGCTAAAATTGATAGATAAAATGAGGATCTATCTTTGATGATTTTGTCTTAAAATAGGAGATGAAAACTATTTTCTTGACCAAAAAGATGAAGTCCGACTAACCACAAGAATAAATTCAAACCATTCATTAATTTTAGGAATTGTACAATTTTAGGATCTATAATTCCAAGACATTGGGATGATATGTGCATGTCATCTTTTCAGTCGATTGACCCATGCACTATAAATGAGATGGTAGATTCCTCTTTGTGCTCTATGGGAATATAAACCCTAACATAGCCAATTATGATGCATTTTTAATCTCAGGAAAAAAACCCGTAGAAGAATTTTCATGGTATAATTAAATGATAGAGATAGATTCATGGATTCTTAGAACTCAGGTTTTCTATTGAATATGTTTGACAATTAAATGAAAGAGATGGGTTCATAAACCACTTCTCATTGTACCAATAAGAGATAGAAAAGGTTTGAGCTCTTCTTAAAATAACTTCACCTTTATTCCTATGTGCAAAGACATCGTTCAGGTAGAAGAAAACATGACTAATTATCACAAAAATATAACAAATACAAAAAATGATGGCAAAAGGAAGACAAGTGAGTAATCTCACTAAAAATAGTCTCTTCTCAAAAACTCTAGTGTGGATGTACATGTATAAAAAATATATGATATGAATACTACACAACTTACGTTTCTCAAATCCTAAGTCCAAGACTTGGTTATTCATGCTTTTGTCACCAAGGATTTGTTGTTTACATAAAAAGGTAAAGATGGAAAAAGAAATGGTTTAAATCCCTCCTTTCTATATAAAAAAAAGTTTGTTGTTTACATCCCCAAAAAACTAACGTGTCCCTCCCTAATTTTGAATTTAAAATTTTGAAATAAAAAAATATTCACACGCTTATCTAGAGAGTTAACATTTCCTTATTTTTTTTAAAATTTTAGAATATTACAAAAATAGAGGGATATTATAAAGGAGGAATTTGGGGTTAAGCCATCTAATTTGAATTTTAAAATAAAAGTCATTAACGTGCTTATTTTGTATTTCCTTCATAAGGGGAAAGGCTAAATTACCAATTGGTATTAAAAGTAGTATCTTGTGACCATATTGATATTAAAATTAACTTCCGCGATAATGAGGTATTTGAACTTGCATGATGTGACAATGAGTTTTCTGGCCAAATATCTCAAGAACGTTCAAACTAAAAAATAGAGATAAAATTCAAAACTCCTGAGCTCACATCTATGATCTATCTCATGCAATATGTGAACAATGAGCTTCAGAGGATCCTCAAGTCATGCTTGAAAGTCATCCAGATAAATCGCACACATGACCATTGTATTCTCAGTTCTTTGAACTAACCTAATGCCATATTGTCCTAATTCTTGACATCGACTTTGAATATCATCAATAATATGCCCAAAAATAGAAAACATCAAAGGCTGACCTTAGTTTGTCCCGATGACATTTTTAGAATCTCCTTCGAATTTAATATTTTTGAAACCACAAATTGAACAGCCTTCAATCCTGCCATGAATTCTGCATGTTCTATCCCCCTTCTGATAGTTTTTATTTTGGATGGCGCAGCAAAATTCTCCCCTTCATGATCACGAACCATCACTGTCACTCCAATGGCTCCACAATTTGAGAATACAACTCCATAGAAGTTCACTTTCATGATCACTCTCAATTTCGGTGGCCTCCATCTAGTTTCAACCGCCCTGCCCACCATTCTTGTCGGGGTCTCTTGCGCTTGGGGAAAATCATATTGATACTCCTTGGCCAATTTTACAAATCTCTTACCCTCCATGCTTCTGCCTTGATATTTGATAGTGTTGTGATTTCACATGAGCCAACAAAGCATAATAATAAGATTGAAACGTAGTGCCTCAAGAGCCTCTTTCAATCCCCGTAACTATTGCCCAACTTTCATTCTTTCAAGCCAATAATTATTAGGAACGACATTTGCCATTGCCTAAATAAGATGAGCAAATGAGCAACTCCATAGAACATGTCAAAGGGACTCCTCATGGAATTACATATCTAACAACCTTCCATTGCTATCACCCCTCTAGGCTAGGTGATAGAGTTTCTTGAGTTGGAAGGATACTGTGACAAACCCTTCATGTGGCTAGAAAATAGACTTGATTAGCGCTTCGTCCCATCAAGTACCATTTGGTAGAATAAGGTCAACAATCATAGAAGTTGATCGCACTGGCAGGATCTGTGTATGAAACGACCAAGGGATAAGGATTCATCTGCCCCCCGAAACCCTTATGCTACAACCATTTTTAATACACTACCTTGTCCCCATTTCAATAACATCCATAACAGAAGAGGTATTGCGCCACGCAAATGAGGGTCTTGACCTGAGCCTTGCATTAAGAACATCCCCACCCTAAAAATATTTCGAACTTAGAACCTTAAACAATAGTGAATCCTGATTAATTGTGAGGCACCATAACTGCCTGGTTAGGAGAGCTAAATTAAAATTATTTTACATTTCGAAACCAAAGACCACCCTCCTTTTTCTTTTTACACAAGGTGTCCCAATATATCTAACACATTTTTCTGCTATCTTTTAGCCTCTTTTCCACCAAAAGCCTCAGATCATTCTCTCAATTTGTGTACAAAATTAATTAGACATTTTAAAGCAGCTCATGGTGGACAATGGATCGCTTATAACACGACTTTAATCGAAACCTTTTTTTTGGCTATTGATAATAGTATTGCCGACCATCTCTATATTTGCGTCCACGCCCTCTCCTTGATGTTCATGAAGATCTCTTCTTTGATTTACCCACAATCGACGGTAGTCTGAGGTATTTGTCATGTTTGTCAACCTCAACTCTAAGAGCCACTTTACAACATGCCTATTTAGTCTCTGAGGTATCCTTCCTAAAAATTGCTGCAGATTTTTGTTAATTAATCATTCATCTTGATGCCCTCTCATATTTCTCTAGGATTGTACAAACTATCTCACATGCATTTTGCTCGCCTAAAAAAGAAGAAGCTATCATCCATGAAGAGTAAGCCTGAAATAAGACAACTCATCGTAACACTAAATCCATGCAATTTACTCTCTTCTTTGGCAGTGGGTAGGAGGGATGTCAAGCCTTTTGCAGAAATCAAAAGTAAATAAGGGGACAACGGATCATCCTATCGTAATCCTCTCTTTGGCTTGACATGTCTCATTTGCTGCCCATTTACAAGGACTGAGAAAGAGACAGTGGAAAAGCATTATCATAATTAGCCGTATATATTTTTCGTCGAAAACCTATTTGACACATTTGTTCGAGATATATCCATTCGACTCCGTCATAGGCTTTGCTCATATCGAGTTCTAAGGCTACATGACAATTTGTCCCTCCCACTTACACTTCAAAAAGGGATTCAACTCGAGGAATAAGGAAATTATCAATAATTCTGAGTATCATTTCTTTCGATCAACTCATCCTTCACATTCAAACATACCTTGTATCAGTGATTTCTTCTCTCAAAGGTGGAACAATTGAGTAACCACACTATGCATAGGCTTGTCAACCCACTCCCTCAATTCATAACTACCAATCTGACATTATGGAAAATAAACCAAGTTGAAAGAAAAGAAGCCCCAAC